TATATATATACCCATATATACAAATACACATACACGTAGACACACAATCATAATAATAATAATAAATATAATATAATTATAATAAACCTAATATTAATAACAAAAAGTATAATTATAATAAATATAATAATAAAAAAATTATAATTATAATTAATATAACAAGAAAATAATAACAATAATAATCAAAATAAAAGTAATAATAATAATAATTATTATATTTTTTTAATAATAATATGAAATAATAATTTTTTTAATAATGATAATAATAATATAAAATAATAGTAGTAATAATAATATTTATAAAAAGTGAGGGAAAGGAAAAAAAAAGAGGGTGAAAGGCAAAAAGAAAAGGAGGGAAAAAATTTTAGTTTTCCCGCTTTTATTTTCCTACAAAATTCCTACAAAATTGTATTTTTTAAATATTAATTAATATTCAGTAGGAATTCTGCTGGAAATTACCAACACTTTTCCAACGTACTTCTTCTGGTTTCTATTTCCGTAGGTATTTTGTCGGAATTTTGTTGGATTTCTATTTTGTTGCCTTTTGTTGGAAATTTGATGGAAATTACCTACAAAACATATTTGTAGGTAATTTTTGGTAGTTAAAACCAAATTTTCTAGTAGTGTCAACGACTAATACATTCATAGATAAATTGATAGGAAACCACGTACGACTTGAGAAGAAATCTCAGACGACTTGAGAGGAAACCACAGATGGCTCTTGTCTTTGAAAATGAGCAAAGTGATTATAGATAACACGAATCCATGTGAGAGGATGATTTCGCAGGCGATTTGATAAAAACGCAAACATGTTTGCCCCATCTATGGTTTCGTTAACCACTTTTATTTAAACTATTATTTTTAGCTATTTTTAAGTAAGCCATAAAAAAATTAAGCTATTTTGTAAATTTCTGACGAAAAATGTACCACAAAACACATGACCCGTTCCTTTAGGAAAGAGAATGAAAACGACTTAAAATTTGTACCCGAATATAAGAAAGGTGTACATAGACCACCTCCCAATAGCAAACAGCATGTGTGGTGTATACTTTTTATTTTGAAAGAGTAGAAAAAGGTTTTTTTTTTTTGGGTGTGAGGGGTGGGGGGGGGGGGGGGGTAAGATCGGGTTAAAGGTTTAACGATTTCGAGCTAAAAGGTATAATTTTTATGTGTATAGATATTGGTTGAGGTGATCTGAACTTTAAATTTTTTTAATAACTTTTACGTTCTTAGTATATCATATATAATTATAAAATTCATACAATAATAATAATACTTAAGATATTGGTTGACTGTGCCTTGGCATCCCTTCGCAACAAGCTTCCAGATTTTGACCTTAACAATTTTACTACTAAAGACACCGCCCCCCCTAAATCCCAGAATACACTGGCGAGTGCCATTTTTCGTAAAATTGTCCAAGATATGGAAGTGCATCTCGACATGACGGCTCGGCAGAAAACGGTTTTCTAGTGCTTACGTGCACCACATGCTCAAGATTTTCTTCTGGCTATCCCTATAGATGGGCTTGGCTAACACATGTCTCCCGTGGAGTATCGTACTATTCTCAAATATCGACTCTTGATTCCCATATTCCCAGCTGACGAGATATGTCCTGTGTGTCGCAAGGCATGTTTGGACTCTTTTGGAGAGCATGCAGTTCACTGTAAAGAACTCCCGGGGTTCAAATACATGCACGATATGGTTAGGGATGTTTTGTTTAACATATTTAAGCGTGCCGGGGTTTCCGCTAAGAAAGAAGCACCTGTTAATTTCTTGACTGACCCGACAGAAGGAAGGTCAACCCTCAGACCGGCTGACATTTTGATTTTTGGATGGGTCGGAGGGAAACACGCATGTGTGGATCTTACAGGGGTATCCCCTCTCGTGGGCCTGAGGGCTGGGGGTTTCACGGCGGGACATGCTGCTTTAAAAGCATCTACAGGCAAAGTCACCAAACATGAGAAATCGTGCATGGAAAATCAACACGTGTTCATACCATTTGCATTTGATATGTTTGGTTTCCTCGCACCGGATGCGGTAGAGCTTCTTAAAAGAGTACAACGAATCATGCATAGTAATGTTATATCACTTAGATCTTCGGATGTAGCATTTAAAAGAATTAGTTTTACCATTCAAAAAGGCTTAGCGGCACAGCTTGTTGCCCGTTTGCCATCTCACTCATTGTACGATGACAATTAAAATATTGATGGAATGAAATGCCTAACATATAACAATTTACTTATATAACTATATGTTTTTGTCATTTTAAAACCACTTTCCTCATCTTACTTGTTTTTTTCTTTTTCGAATGTTTTTTTTTTCCTTTTTGCCATTCAACCTAGTAGGCTAGTAGAGATAAAATATAACCCTATTGATAAGTAAATGTGTTAAAAACCGACACGCATCTAGACTACTTTATGATATTGACACACAAAACTATTCGAAACATACATTCTATCAACGAAAACTTAACGAGAATGACACATAAAAATATTCAAATTATACAATTTTTTTTTTCAGAATGTACCATGTGCAATTTTTTGGGAATGCATATTTTTTTATGGACATACGTTTTTTTTGTATTTTTTTTTTTCAAAAACATGTCCATATTTACGTTTAGATCGAAAATTTTAATTGGAAAACAAGTTATTAAGTTTTCAAATATATATATATATATATATATATATATATATATATATATATATATATATTCATTTATATTTGTGTATAGAAATAGGTATTTAACGTATGTGATCAACTTGGAGAATGGGAAAATCAGAGGTTAAAAATGAAGAAGATAGGCAAGGCACTTAGTTCTAGGTTATTTACATTACTTTCTTGACTACTTGCTTCTATAAATATATATTTATAACGAGGATAGTTAAATACTTAAACATAATATGATTGATCAAGTTTACTGATTCGGGTTTATTTAATATACATTTGAAGATATATTATAAAAAATAATTAATAATGATAAGTTAATTTGATACTAAGGCATCGAGGTGACAAAATTCATAAGCTGGACATATATAGGAGTTAGGACAAGATAGGCTTGGGTGAGAATTTACAACTTGAAAAAACATTGCTGATTGACTACTTGGTGAATGGGATTACAATAATGCATTAATGTGAGTCAAAGCTATCTTATCCATGTCATCAATCTACATCCCTTCAACCACATTATTATAAATAAAAATAAAATGAAATAAAAGGTTGTGTAAGTGATTTGATCCCCACGTTTATATATTTACAACAAATTGATTGCCTATTTGGATTGGAAATTTGTGATTTGCAAAATGTCAACTTATGGTCCATGCAACTTAACTTTAGATTTTCTTGTAGGTGATTATGGTCCCTTGGATAGATCTCACCAATTCTTTCGAAATTTATTTATTTATTACTAGTATTTAACAAAACATATATTGTCGATTCTACATTTAACAAAACTCAATCAAAATATGTTTTTAAAGGTTGTTTAATGTTTTGATTATGTTTGACCATTATAAAATGTATATCTATTTGTTATTCTCCTAATTTGCTCTAATGAAGCACACATTATGTTCGCCGTAGCAAACATAATTTGCATAACGTAATTAAAATGTGTTATAAACATTTTTTTTCTTCATTTTTTTTGCTTATGTTAGTAGGAAAGAAAAAAACTTTTAATAACAGACACCTTACAACGTATATTAAATTTATGACAGACAAAAAAATTATTGTATTAGTTATGGTATCCTTTGTGAAATGTGAATGATTTACAACATACATAATTGTCCATCGTACAATTATGCCATCCTATGTGAGATTTCATGACGTACAAAATGAATGTTTGTTGTATTTTAATGTCTAAAATGAAAAAAAAGTGGCCATTTCCTAATTATGTATGTTATTTTTTTTGTTGTCATGTTATATTTCCGCTACACAACGTTTCCATCTCCTTAAAAAAACAATTTGGTCGATTTGTGGCTTGCTATTTCTTTCTCCTTTCTCGTCTATCAAGCCTGCACTTGTTGCCAGTAGTTTACATATCTTACCCTGCCAAAAATATGTCCCAAAGACCAAAGTGACTTTGTCACGGAGTCGGACATAATAGGGTAGAGCATAGACATGACAACAACGCTAAATACATGCTAACTACTAAAGATAATAAATATCTACACTAACTGAAAGGATGGGTTAATGTTATCATGTTGAAATTTTGCATGTATTGTGGTTGGAAAATGGAAATAATGATTCTCTTGGTGGAAAATCATAACATTTGAAGCCGCAGTGATGAGCACAATATCCGAAAAATAAATATGATTTTGAACAAGGTTGGAGTTTGTTGATAGTCGTGGATGCAAGGAGCAGATAATATGAACATACGAAAACCACCTAAATGTGTATAGTAGGAAGATGCTAAGAGGGTAATTATTTATGATAGTGAGCCTTGGATTTTATAGATGGATAAATTAATAGGGTATTAACCAATCATCATCTAATTTTTGTTTAAAGCAACAAAACAGATTTGGATTATTTTTAAAGAGAATTTCCAAAAATAACCATTTTTAGACCCCTTATGTGTACTAGTCATGTCTTGTGCGAACTCATTCCACAAGTTGTTTTCTTAAAAGATTATCATTTCATAAAATCTATTTTTTTTAAATGGCTATTTTAATAGACCATATGAAGGATGTTAAGTTTGGAGGAACAATTGAGGTGGTGGTGTCAAAGCTACCGTAGAGAAAGGCTTGCTTGGCATATTCAGTTATTTATGAGGAGAGGTTAGAGAAACTGATATCAAAAAATTTGTTTTCTAGGTAGATGACCCCGAAACTTTTGTTATCTTGGAATATTCTTTGGAGTTTCTCCTATGCTTCTTGAAGTGTAAAATTAGGTGCAACGATTGTGTGAAAAAGGTCATTGAAGAAGCATTATATATACTATTAATTGCTAAAAAATTGGTTAACGGTAACTTTTTTTCTCTTTCATATTTGGACACGGAAGTTACATTTCCTCTTTTTCTTATTTACACGGAAGTTTCTCCTCTCTTATTTTGTCGCACACGGAAGTCTTCTTCTTTCTTATTTTGCCCCTGAAACTTGTGCTTTGGCTGATGCTTATCTTCTCTTCCTCAAAGTCGGTTGCCGTCATTCTCCTCCAATACGGTTCGTTTCTCTTTCTTTATTTCTTTCCCGTTTGTTCTTTACTCTTCCTTCTTCTTTGCTTCTTTGCTTTTCTATTTTGCTTCCTGAGATGCTAGCCGCCCTTTCCGCCTTCAGATTGGCTACGACATCAATTGAATCTTTTTCATTTTCGAATTTCAGATAACACTTCTGTGAAATTGATGAAATCAGGAAACAGGTGCAGGTTACCCATGTTTTCTTTTTTCTTGATGCTCGCGCAGTTCGCATAGACTGCAGTAGACGGTAACGGATTTTTCTTATGCTCAATTGCTTATACCCTTATTTTATTTCGTGTTTTCCCAAAATAATTTACGTGTTTATATACCCTGTTATAGTTCATACCAACAAAAAGATTGGTAAATTACTATTCTACCCTGCTGTTAGAGATGAAAGATTATCTGAGACTATTTTTTTTCTTTATTCAGGTCCCTCTGATGCCCCTCCTGTTGCAGACAACTTTCTCAAGGTACCAGGTTTATAATGACATCCTTTTCCTATTTTCACTCAATTATATTCAATAGAATTATTACACTGTTGAGAAATATGTATATTTTTTCATTTTAGTGAATGGGTGATTGGTACCGGGAAGAACTGGTGAATGATATAATTGTAGAGATATCTCAGATAAATCAAGATTTATCTGAAGGAAGAAGCAATCAAACCAACCTACCCAAAACTATATGTATCTTTATCATAGGTAATTGTGCTTCTACTGCTATTCGTCAATCTAAAAAAAAATTGTCATTTCTAGCATCAAAAATGTATTCTCATCTGCATGCCAGCTGCTCGACATAATGCCAGATTAAATTGCTTTGAAATAGTTTATTTTTTTCCTTTTCCTTTTCCTTTTCATTTTTTTTTGGGAAAGTGTTAATTCTCTCGTGATATTTCTTTATGCAGGAAAGAGGGGAGCATGTCCCTCCTGAAGATTCACTTGAGGTAGCTCGGAAGATCAAGGAAACTTATTGCTACACATGTGCAGACATTGTCAAGGTAGTTTATAACTTCATAGTTATGCAAGTTGAAAAGGCTACAAACTTTCATGATTTTATGACCATATTTTATGTTTCTTTAATTGTATAGGAGTACAATAAACATGACAAAGAATCATTGAAGTATGTTAAATAATGGAGAGGTTTTAAGCCAAAGACTTGGGCACCTTACTCATGTGATGTTGGATATGAATGATTTGTTGGTCCCAAGCTTTATGATTTATATTTTATCCCCTTTTTGTTATTTTCAAAGATGATATCACTATGTTTTTTAGTGATATTATAATGTTTATATTCTATCATGCAAATTTTCTTTAATCCAGAGATATATGATAAAGACTTCACAACCCCTTTACCTGCTGTAATAGACAGCTGTATTCAATCTGCTCCAATTGACACAGGAAGAGCTCTATATAATGTACACATTATTCAGCCTGTAAAAACTATATATTATTACAAAATTACATAAAAAAATAAGTTAATCTTTTTGAGACTTATTATAGAATCTAGTGTTGTCTGGAGGATCCACCATGTTTAAGCACTTCCAAAGAAGGCTTCAACTGGAGACAAAGAAGATTGTGGATGCACGTGTTCTTGCATCTACTGCCAGACATGATAGTGAAGTAAAGGTATGCCCCTATTTCATTTTTCCCCTATCTGTCTGTCGGATAAAAGATGTTTAAAAAGTAACACACTGGAGTGTAAAGTAAATAATGTGACCGAACTTTTGAGCACATAAATGTGTCATCAATTTGTTTCAACGTTATACAGAACCTGTGTTCATGTTTTGTGTTTTCTGTAGTTTAAGAATCTTTTTTTGATGTATTAGAACCGATTGAATTACCAGGTTGATATGTTCTTTTATTTTTTTGTTGTTTTGTGCACTTGACACCAACACATATATGAAACATGTTCTGTAAAGTTACCTGTGATAATTAACTGTTTTTTTTTTTCAAACATGCAAATGAGTAGATGTCTTTAATTTAGGAATCTGTGGGGAATGATAAAGCTTTCGCAGTAAGGAATGGATATGAACTTCACTCCAATCAAGAGGTGTGTTTCACAAATGAAAAAACTAATTCAGAATACTCATGGTTATATTATTATTAATTATTAATTATATATAAATATTATATTTCTTTTTAACAGTTATTTGGCCAAAACTAGCTGACCCTGCTTTGATATTGCAGCATCATTCTTCAAGAAAATTATTCAGCTATACCCCTAACTAATTAAGGTTGGCATTTGAAAGAAAGTTTGATAAAACACTCCAACTGCTCGATGAAATGCTTCAACCAGGTATATGAATTTTCTTTTCAGTTTGCTATTAGCCCGTGCTTTGATGCTTTTATTGTTACACTTGATCTTCATTTATGTAACATATATAGTTTTTGTTCACACAACACATTATGTCTCAATGGAAACCTTCGTTAACACAACATTTATTACTTGAATTACCAAACCTTATCAATTCCAAATAATTTTAGGAATTACTACCTATAATGAACTGTTAACTGTGTTGTTGGTTCATGGTCTTTATAGTGAACGAATTTCCAAGTAATTAAGGGTCTGTTTTCACTGTTAAGATCTCATATTTTTTCCACTTTATCCCCTTTACTTAGCATCGTGAATTAATGATATTATTAGTTGAGATAAGACTCAACTTTAGAATTTTGGATACTATCACCAATATCAAGTATTTTTTTAAACATTATGGAGCAAAAATGTTTAAAAACAGCTATACTTAGGGACTAAAAATATAATATACTTGAATTTTTTTAAGAGGCTTTTGAATTGTCTTTGTGAAGTTGGCTGATTGACTTTTTTTATACAGGGTCAACACGTGTACAAGTAACCTTTGTTAAGAGTGTATGTGTTACAAAAAAAAGAGCAAGAATTTAACTTACTTTTTTTGGCTTGCCCAATGTTCTTTTTGCCAAACCTGGGAATAGTCGCTCATGTATTGGGTTGGATTCCAGCTTCAGTTTTCTTTTGAGCCTCCACATCAAAAGGGTATGCCTAAGAATGAAAACAGTAACAGAGCATTAGATTAAGGGAGTGTCTCTCTGATTTGGACCATTTTTGCTTTGGCTATCATACAATGCATAAGTAATTCTAACCAATTACATACCAATTGTTTATTTAATAGATATTGATTTAATGAAAATTATAATTAATTTATATTAATTATATACAAATAAATAATATTTTATTATAATTTTATAATACATAATATTTAGAACTATCGTAATAACAATATATATAATAATACTAAATAATAGTAGTATTTGTTAAAGGTACTTGACAATTCATATAAGTTATGATCTTTTTTGGGGTCCTTTGGATCACCTGAAACAAGAAGCAAAAAAAGTATGTTCCTTTTATTGTATACTAGGCGAATCTTCGTGCGTTGAACGAGAATATAATTATATAGTTAAAATAATAACTTTTACCAAATTATTATTTAATATTTCTACTTTGAAACAAAATGTTAGTAGTAAAGCAAACATATAGTTAACATATTAGTTTTATTAAACATTATAGTTTAATTTTTAAGTCATTGTGATATATACAATTATTTGATATTTTTATAAACCGTTTAAAATTGTGTAAATTATATATCAAATGAATGATAATATAACGGGTAACAAAACGTATGAACAAAAATATGAACTGCAGCTTTTAGTAACATAAAAATAGAAAAATATTTATTATAACATTTGTGTTAAAAAAGATATATATACAACGAATAATAAAAAATATGAATAATAAACACTATAGCTTTTAATAACATAAAAACACTAAAACATCTTTTATAACATTTATATTAACTCTTCATATTTAAATCACAAATCTCTTCAGATACATTAATGTTTTTAATGAGCAAAACTTTACAATCTTATAAAAGAAAGGAAAATAAAAAGTTATTAGTGATTACTAATTAATAATCATAAGTTAAAAACTCTTGAGTTGTAACTAATAAATATACATAAATTAGAAAACTCTTGAGTTGTAGTGTGAGTTTCAAATGAATGCGGTACTTGGAAATGTATTATTATTATTATTATTATTATTATTATATCGTCTAAATAATTGGTTTTGATGCATCATTTTAATCCCTTCAATTATTAAACATAGGTGCATATACATGTTAAACAAATCACATATAATATATATATATTTTCGTAAATGTCATATGTAATTCTTGTCGTAGTAATATGGATAAATTACTTTCATATGAAGAACATGTAATGATAAGTCTATCATAATTACATATCAAATGTTCAAAATTATGTTATCTTTTAATATGTTGTGTAGGATAACCCAACAAAAAAATAATAGAAAATAAACATAATCAAAATTTAAAAACTACAATCAAATAAATAAGAGCATTGGGTGGTTGAATATATAAATAAAGATGTTACATAAACATACATTTAAATCAAAAGAAAAAACTAACATTCGTCAACTTTGCTCAAACAAAAAAACCTATATCCATTTTATGAATCTTCTTTCTTCATTTAACACCATTCAACCATAGAAACTTGATGACAATTCTTCACTAACCTGCAATCAAAATATTTTTTCTTGAAAAAGAAGAATCAGAAAGATATTCCAAGCAAAACATTGATGTTTGGAGAGTCACATTTAAGATTGAGTAATACACACAAATCACATATAAAGATTAAATGAGAAACTGAATATAAAGAAAGAATAGAAAAGCTTCATTTGTTTTGGTTGAAAGAAAAAATCATATTACAATTATCATCGATGCGACATAACTCATTTCTTCAAATCATCACATTTGGATCATGAATGCTTCAACTATATGAAAACTTTTGAATCACAATATCTTCAAATCATTCTTACATGTAAGATTTTATGTAACACAAAAGACACAAAAGATTGGTCTTTTTATAGTAAACTTTTCACTAAATGCTAATTAAACTTAATATAAGTTATAAAACTTTTGAGTGTTAAATCATAATTAAGAAAACTTTTGAGTTGCATTAGTTAAAAAATGAGGTTTCAAATGAATGTGGTTTGAGGAAGTTAAAAAAGGGGGTTTCAAATGCATGAGATTCAAGAAAAAATGCTAGCTTTATAAGTATGTATGATGTGTTTTTATTTTATGATTTATATTTTATGGAAGTGTGTTTGATCTGTTTGTGGTTGTGATGCAGGGCTGATTTTCATGAACTTGCAAGTCAAGAGTTGGGCTAAGAACACTCCTGGAAAAGGAGCCACTATGAGTCGACAGAAGTCTAGGAGTGGAAGAGCTCTTGAAGCTTCTCTTTCATCATCTCCTTCATTGAAAGGGAAAAGAGATGTGATGGCTAAACATTAAGGTAAACTTCCTTCACTTAAAGGAATAGCAATTAGCTTTGTATATATCATCCTCATTACAATTCTTCTTTCTATAGCATTAATTCTTTACTTGTGTTTTTGTAGAGGCAATGGACTTCAGAGATTGGTGCAAAAATGAATGTGTCAGGCTTCTTGGATCCAAACGCCTCCTGTATGTGGAATATGTCTTCATTAATATAATATTATGTTCTACTACATGATACAACTTGAAACAAGAGAAAATAAACGAACACAGCGCCAACGGCGGGCATGATTCCCTTCTAGTTGTATATCAAAATACATTGGAGAACAATGACATATAAACGCGTTGTAACACCCCAATTTTCAAATATCAATTAAATGGAAAATAATCGTTCCAACATCTTCCAAGATCAATTCTGAACTTCCTTATAGACTAAACTACAACTGAAGCAAAATAAAATAAAATAAAGTCTTCAATTGAAGAACTTCAGGTGTTACGTCTTTGCGGAATTGCTTTGTCGTCTTGTTGATCAATCCTTCTCCCTAGCCTTCTTACTGTCACTTGTTAAATAGTTTCGTGGGTTGTGCACATTTAAAATTTCTAAATGGGTAAGCTTAGGGCCTAGTGAGTTCGTGTTGCACATACATGTCCATCACTTAAAAAAAGGTTTTATCATATAGTTTCAATAAATCATACAACAAACATATCACTAGATGACATAATTTAAGAGAACGATTAATAATCCAGAGAAAGAACCAAATGTCCATCTCCTTTCTCCTTGAGACAACTCATCATCCACTGTACACAAATATTTTAAATATCCAAAGAAATGAGTATGATTCTCAATTCTCATCCCCGCCGATCACACACATCCGTCATGCTCATGACGATTAAACAACCACCCGTTCCCGCTAAACATGTCATCCAAAAACACACACAGTAGATAACAACTCTAAAATAACATTTGCATACAACCATACTTATCGTAAAACATATTGTCCATAAATAAATTAAAACCACATAATAAACGCATAACAAACATTTATGTGTGAGCAACCACAGAACACGAAAAACGCACCTCGTAACCGACAAATTCTAACCGAAGCTGCTAACCTGCACCCTATATTCCAACAACAAATTTTCTAAGGCAACATCCGAGAAAACTTCCTATGAGTTCATGGTATGTGGTTCGACTATTCGTATGTCTCGTTCAACCGACTAATATTTTAGTTATAATGCTAAAAATATATTAAACTGTATATTTTTCTAAGAAAATAATCAATAATGTATTTATTAAATAAATTGGGCAGAAGTATACCGAAACTGCAAGGGCTGAAATGCAAATGTTAACAGATTTTATTGTAAAAACTAAAATTAGGCAAATTCCCAAACTGCAGGGGCTAGATATGTAACAATAGTTTTAATTCACGAAAGAAACGTTGGATTAATAATACTTTGATTTAGAAAAAATGACATGTTATTTAAACTACAAGGTCCCTTTCTGTAATTATTGAGTTTTGATTCTCAAAAACAAAACGTAACGACCGGAGTACCAACAAATTTTAGTTGTTAGACTTTTCATATCTCCTCCTTTTATAATTGATTAATAAGTTTGAGCTTTTACTTATATTTATACAACAGAACCCACTCTCTGAATTAGACCCACCCAAAAAACAGATCCGAGCTGCCTCCTTCTTAACCCGAACACCCCTCTCTTTTGTTTTTCTGCCATTTATATATTTTATTTACAGCTCCAATTTTCCCGGATAACCATTAAATAGTTATGTAAAAATCAACGTAGGCTATCTCCAGATCTTACTAACATAAACCGACATCTAAAATTTTGAAAGAAACATCACAACATTCTAAAATTCATTTTTTTTCTGAAGACTCATTATTCATTTTTTTAATTACCCATTTCTTGGACGAAACATAGACATATAATCAACCCAAACCATGAACCACACCCTTAATATATTTATACAACTAATTTGAACATAAATCGAAGAACCATACCTTGATTTGCTAGAAGAAGACCTGAAACCTTCAAGAACTTATCTCTTCGATTTCTCCCTTGATTATCAACGATTTCTTATAATTCCGGTGGGGTTTTCATAGGTTTTTACGAGCTTTATATAATGTCTAACATTGTAACTCCTAAAAACTTATGATTTTCTCGAATTTACTCATTCATTGAAGGTGACGGGTTTTAGGATTAAACCTCATTATTTTGCCTAATTAAAACTAATTACACCTAATTTTATTTCTAGAAAATAAACAAATATATTAATTAGTTATAACATATATATATATATATATATATATATATATATATATATATCATTTTCTTTTATCTGAGTTATCACAAACTTCCCCACTTCGAAAAATTTCGTCCTCGAAATTTGAACTAAACAACCAAATAAGGGTATTGGGTCTTCATACGTTTCCCCATGTCATATCTAACCCTTTATGTTACTTTCATTGAGCTTTCATGAGTTGTATCTCAACATTCTTTAACTTCTTGACCAGATAATCCATTTCTCGTTGTAAACTCTTCCAAAATGATGACATGAAACTAAGGCTCCGATCAGAAATAGACAACTACACTATCTCATCAATATACAACTTAACTAACTTTTCCAACAAGTATGTTTCACCCGATGACACAATTTAAATGACCATTTTAGATATCCAGAGAAAGAACCAATGGTCCACTTCCCTTCCCACTTGACACAACACATCCATTATGCTCAAACATTTAAATATCCAAGGAAATGAGTAACATCTCAAATCCTATCTCCGTCGGTCACAACACACTCGTTATGTTCCCGACTATCATACACCCATGTCCCCACTAAAATGTGTCATCATACACCAGTTAAACAAATCTAAAAACTTTCCACTTATCCTCTACCATGGATTCTTTCTGACTCTTCTTCGCTCCACCCGGTAAACTGACAGTTACATCAATTCTCATCATTTTGAATCTTACTTGATTCCTTCCTTAGCTTATGACTTAGAGCATAAGTGAAAACGTTATCCTTCCTTAATCAGTAAAGATCTTACACCTTCTTTGAATCTTGGTAATCCATGCACATCTACAACGTCCTTTCCTTTTCAAGCAGGTCCTGCAACTATTAAATAAATCCTTTCATCCTTGTTGGGGCTAACCCATAGGATTCTCGAGAACTCCCTTACAACTGGTACACATACAATATAATGTTCCCCTATGTGGCACCTACACCCAATACTTCTCTTATTACAATCTATGTTAGCTTGGTTTTTTTTTGACAACCACTTCATTTCTATCAAAATCTCATAGTGCTACAGGTACTAAATTTAGTGATGCTAAATAATTGTCTATTTCATTCAAGCAATCATCAAATTTCTTTCTTATGACTACAAAATGATCATCATCAATCTTTATTTCTAAAAGCCTTTGCACCCATATTTAGGCACTTACAAAAAGTAAAAACAAAAATGTTTGCATCCACATTCAATAACACCCATAATATAGAGTTTACTAAGAAAGTACATGCCACTATATCGGGGTATCCTGAGATTCCTGAGCTGTCATATGGAAAACTCTTCCTTTTGTTCTTATCGTTTCTGCCTTTTCATCTCCCGACCGATTCCCTTTCTCTGTCATCATGTGTTGGTTATTGTTAACCTTATTCTGAGGACAGTTTGACCTGATGTGATCTGAGGACCCGCACTCATAACATACTTTCCCTACTTTACAATCTGAAGCGATATGTCCTATCTTTCCACATTTGTAGCAAGTTCTTTGGTTCATATTACACTCCCCTTTATGGAATCGTCTGCATATAGTACATTTTTGTATCCCAGACTGTTGCTCATAGTTACGATCTGAACTAGAAGTCTTGCCTTTCTTTGAGTCTGTATTTGAACTTTCCAACTTCCTTTTTCCTGATTCCTTATTCTCACTCTGACGACTCTTTTCCCACTATCGGCCTTCCGCGGCGTCTACAGCAGACTGGAAGGTACCTGGTTTCTGAATTTCTACAAATTCACGAATGGCGGTTTTTAGTCCCTAAATATACCTCTCCATCCTCCTTTCTTTCGTAGACACGTAAAATTCGGCAAACCTAGCTTTCTCCGTGAACTTAGTGCTGTACTCTCTCACAGTCATATTCCCTTGTTCCAGCCTCAAGAATTCTTCCTCCAACTATTTAACAGTCGTTCGAGGGCAAAACTTTTCTTTAAAGATTCTTAGAAAATCATCCCATGAAATCTTCTTGGCCCCCTAACTTCCTTCACCATGCCCCACCAATGTACTGCCTCCCCTTTTAACATTGTCGCAATATAAATCGCCTTGTCCTCATTGTAACATCCGGACTTCCAGGTATATTGTTTATTTATTTATTTTGAGGACTATTGAGCTACTCAACGAGTCGGTGCTACAACTCGTCGAGTAGAGTCGCGATGTGCCACGTGGGATTAATGATCTACTCGACGAGTCCAAGAGCTGACTCGCCGAGTAGACGCTGTGAAGAGAAACCCTAAATCCCCGGGTTTGGGGCCTATTTAAGGGCACTTATAGCCTCATTTGCGGCTCAACTTCACTGAGAGTAAACCCTAATCGACCTTTGAGCTTAGAGAGAGAGTTTTGAGCTAACTTTGAGTGTTTGGTGCATCTTTTGAAGAGAAGAGAGGATTTCAAGACAAGGGACGAGAAGGATCTGCTAGATCCGTGGTTATTTCACCTTAGAGCCTCTGGGAAAGGTATAAATCTTGCACCTTTCTCATTTTGTTGAGTAGATCTCATGATTTTGGGAGTTTAAGGTTTTTTCCATCTTATATGAGGACCTAGAGTGTTTTGAGTCCTTGTAGAGGTTTGGACTTCAGATCTGGACCATGTGAGGTCCCTAGAGTCCAAAAGTCCATGCTTTATTCAACCATAATAATTCTCTTGAGTGAAAAACCTTCATTAAGGTATGTTTTGGCATTTCAATCCCTAAGTGCCATGCATGGATGTAAAGCCTGTGACTTTACGTGATAAACGAGCTTTAAGAGTGTAGATCTAGAGTTTGGGAAGGTTTTCTGCCTTGAAATCGTCTGAATGAGAAAAGAGTCTGGATGGACTCGCCGAGTCGAGGAGCCGACTCGACGAGTCGGTTAGGGTTTGTCCCGATGAGCTGGCTATGCTATAACTCGGCGAGTTAGGGGATTACTTGACGAGTTGGACCTTCACGAAGACTTCTGAGGGACGACTGGACTCGACGAGTCACATGAGTGCACTCGGCGAGTCAGGTCAAACTGGGACTGTTGACTCGAGTTTGACTTATGTTGACTTTAGGGTTGGCCAACATGAGTAATGGGGACCATGGAAGGGTAAAATGGTCTTTTACCCATTCC